GACGGTGGAGGACTGCTTTGAGGGATGTGAGGGTCTTCCGCGCGGCAGATGTGGGTTCAGATCATTACTTGGTCCGTATAAATCTTAAGCTCAAACTACAACGACATGAAGGAAGATCTGAAACTGTCCGACCATTTGCAATTGAAAAGTTTAAAGATCAAAATATTGCAGATGTCTTCACCCTTCAGCTTTCCAATCGATTTCAGGCTTTAGCTGATGTGACAGAGATAGAGTCAAAATGGCAAGACCTCAAAGAAACACTGACCACTTGTGCGCAAGAAGTGATTGGCCAAAGGAGAGGAAGGCGGAAGGAAGAATGGATTCAGGATAGATCATGGGCCCTGATTGACCTAAGGAAGAAGGCTAAAATGAAGCGGGATTAAGCTCTAGAGGTTGAGGATAAGGAAACGGCATCACGTACATATCCTGACCTTGACCGGGCTGTGAAACAGAGCTGTAGGCGAGATAAGAAAGACTGGTTGGAGAAGAAATGCAAAGAAGCCCAGGTGGCCGCAGATCGAAATGATACCCACACCCTGTACCGAATCATTAAAGACCTATCAGGAGCCTGGAGTAGTTCCTCTGTTCCAATTAAAGACAAGAATGGTAAGTTGCTCCTTACCAGGGAGGAACAGAACGACTGATGGGTTGAATACTTCCGAGAGACATTAAATCAGCCGCTTCCCTTAAACACCTATGACTTTTGTAAGGAGGAAGCACAGGAGGAGCTAGATGTGGTACAAGGCAATATAACAGCAGAAGAAGTTCAAATTGCCATAAAGTTACAGAAATCAAATAAGGCAGCTGGTTTAGATAAAATTCAGGCAGAATTTCTAAAATATGGTGGTCCCATTGTAGTTGCGAAACTTACAGATCTATTTAATGCGTGTTGGCGAATGCAAACTGTTCCTGAAGACTGGAAAAAGGGTACCATCATTAAGCTACCAAAGAAAGGGAATAAAATGGAATGTACAAATTGGCGTGGCATAATCCTCATGTCAGTACCAGGAAAAGTGTTTTCCACAGTTCTCCTAAGACGATTGCAGGCAGCCGTTGACAAACGTCTCCGAGAAGAACAGGCTGGCTTCCGGAAAGGACAATCATGTAGCGAGCAAATCTACGCTTTACGAAACATCATTGAACAATGCGTAGAATATAAACGTCCACTTTCCATCAATTTTGTCGATTTCAGGAAAGCCTTTGATAGTGTACATCGTGAATCTTTATGGCATATTTTACAATTGTATGGTGTGCCAAAGAAATTCATATCTGTCTTCCAATCATTGTATAACAATTCCAGCTGCTGCGTCAAGACAGATACAGGCCACACTGACTTCTTTGCCATTGAGATTGGTGTCAGACAAGGATGTATCTTTTATTTTACCATTGTACCATTTTTATTCACAGCGGCCCTAGATTTTGTCATGAGGAAGGCTATGGTAAGACCAAACGCAGGCATTGATTGGGATGGACAGAACCGCCTCACTGATCTTGATTTTGCGGATGATATAGCTCTGCTCGCTGAAAACAGTTGCCATTTACAGGAAATAACATCAAGCTTGCATGAAGAAGCAGCGAAGGTCGGATTACACATTAGTGCAGAAAAATCCAAAGTCATTCATATCGGCGCTCAAGCTGACATGCCAAGGATTAAGGTTGATGGAAGTGACATTGAAGAGGTTAGTAGGTTTACGTATCTTGGCAGCACTATTGGACAAGATGGAGATGCAGAGATAGACGTCAAATGCCAGATTGGCAAGGCAACATCAGTTTTTCAACAAATGTGCAAGACCTGGTCATCTACATCAATCTCACTTAACATCAAGCATCGCTTGTATTCAACTATCATCCTTCCGATGGCAACTTATGCAGCAGAAAAGTGGAAGGCATCAGCTCGTATTTCTCACAAGGTAGATGTCTTCTATCAGCGCTGCCTGCGAAGAATACTACGTATTCGATACTACGATCACATTACCAATGAGGAAGTTCTGCGACGAAGCAATATGCCAAGCCTTAGCATAATGATTACATACCGCCGCCTGTGGCTGGCTGGACACATTATACGGATGGAAAGCAGCCGCATTCCAAAGAAGGCACTCCAATGGGTTCCACCTGGAGGACGACAATACAGGGGTCGACCACGATTGACCTGGCGCCGAACCTTCATCAATGACCTCAACATCACATGGGAAGAAGCCAACTATCTGGCCCTTGATCGCATTCACTGGAGAGCTCTCGTCGCCCAATACACTTTTTAGTGTGGGTGGAGAAGAAGAAGAAGAAGAAGAAGATCTATCTATCTATCTATCTATCAATCTATCTATCATCTGACTATTTCTATCTATCTATCTATCTATCTATCTATCATCTGACTATTTCTATCTATCTATCTATCTATCTATCTATCATCTTCATAGCAACACTCTAGCATCTATCCAAACCAACCTAGCAACCACCCCAGGTACCCTAGCAACCGCATAGCAACATCTTAGCATCCACCCCGGGTACCCTAGCAACCGCATAGCAATACCCTAGCAACCGCATAGCAACACCCTAGCAACCATCCTGGGTACCCTAGCAACCGCTCTAGTAACCACCCCAAGTACCCTAGCAACTACATAGCAACACCTTAGCAACCACACGGGTATCCTAGCAGATGCATATCTATCTATCTATATATCTATCTATCTATCTATCTATCTTCAATCTGACTATATCTATCTATCTATCTATTATGATGTTTTTCTAATAGACTGTATTGCCTTCAAAACATTCAGACTTTAATCTTTCAAACTATTTTAAACTGAAAACTATTTCAGACTGAAAACCGTCAAACTTTTACAACTTTTTTAAACTTCTAAAACTTTTTTAAACTTTTCAAACTTTCTGGTCTGGCTTTCTCAAGCCAACTTCAAAGTTTGTCTCGACAAACTTTTTTATCTAGTTCCTATTTATTATTTGACATCTGCTATTGCTTCATATACTGTTGTAGTTTATTGGCATTGTGAAATGTGACTATTGTTGACATGACAAATTTGCTTGTGATGTTCCCCGTTTTGGATAAAAGCATCAAGTCAAGTCAAGTTTATTTGTATAGCGCTTTTCACGATACAAATCGTTGCAAAGCAACTTT